CTCTCTCTCTCTCTCTCTCTCTCTCTCTCTCTCTCTCTCTCTTTCTCTCTTCTCTCGTGGCGGGATGCGACCGCGAGGAGGGAACCGCAAGGGATCATCGGAGCCGATGGTCGGGACGTTTTCTCCGCGAGCGACAATGCGACGCGCGATGCTGATCGGTTTGTAAATTATTATTTGGAAAAAAAAATAGCATCAATTCTAATCGGAGATGTCGTTATACGCGTGTATTTATTTCATTAACATAAAATTATTTTCCATTAAATGTTCTTAAAATTTATTTAGATCTTTGACAGCAAGTATTTTAATTCCATTTGCTTCATTATTACTACTATTACTATTGTTACTGTTGTTTAACTAGTAAAGATTGAAACAACATATTTGTAGATATTTCATTCTCAATTGCCTGCTCTCGCATCCTATCGCATATATCGCATTTTTATTCCCTAAATCGCGCGCGTCTTGATGAAAGGAACATTTAAGATCTGCGCGATATCTACGAGAGGAAGATCGACGACTTCTTTCACGGCATTGAATCCTCGATCTTTGATTCGACACGCCTGTAATGCGTTACAATGTTTTTGCCGTGCATTATGCGTTACGTGAACGCTCGAATCACGAGCGGCGCGTTCGAACCGACGATTAGAGGATCGCAATATCCGGCTGAACATCATTAATGCTTGTTTAACACGCATTGAAAAAGAGTGCCCCGATATTCACGTTCTCGCTTCTTCGTAATTGCGCTCTTTCGGAACGGTAACGCGCCGCGTATTATTGTGCGATCAGCGCGGAAATATCTCGAGATACGATGAGTGTAACGCGCGCATCTAACGGAGGCGCCGATCCGTTTTACAGAGAGAAATGGACAGGGACCATAGGGAGCAACGCGATCACAATAATCTGAGCGAGAAAGAGCCGGACTGCAAAGTTGGAATGGATTTTCGCAGCCTCTCCCACCATCGCGATCGTACGCCGGATGCCGACGCAGAGGTTCGTTGTTATAAAATTTTCCCTTCTACGATTACTCGTGAAAAAAATAACAATCAGCATCATGTAATTATCATGGAAATAATTTGGAAATATCATTTAATATTGTATTAGTTAATAATTATATTAGTTAATATTATTATTTCTTTAATAATTATTAATTTCGTGATAAGTTCCGAAGCGAAAGGAAATAATTAGCGTATTGAGAATTAATAATTACAATCTAGAAATAAAAAAATATTAATATGATTTCTAAATTATTTCGATTTATTATTAAAATTTATCAATAAACGCCGATTGTCATTTCTTTTATCATTTATTAAATAATTAAATTAATGAAAATAATGAAAATGATTTCTTTAGCAATTGATAAAACAATAACTTATTATCTTATCGCAGAGAGACATGGACATCGATTCGGCTGATCGCATCGAGAATTTGCACGATGACAAGTCCGAGAAATTAGGGAGGAATTTTCATAATATAGGGCATCACCCAGCCATGGTAAATATAGCTAATCCAGAGCTAATAATGTAGCAATCATTCATTTAATCAAATATTAAATTTATCTTTGCAGAGAGATGTAGACAGGGATCAAAATAATCACGTTGATAATATGCACGATGATAAGATGGATCATAAGATAGGACGAGATTTTCGCATCTCGGCTCATCCCGGAATGGTTCATTTGCACTCCAGCATGGAACATTTGACTAATGTCGACGTTGAGGTAATCCATTATAATATATTGCATTGATCTTTTTTAAGTATTTAATTAATTAATTCGAATATTTTTTGAATATTAACGTCTCTTTATAGGTGAAGTTAGCGAGAGATGTTCGTGGTTCATTAGGTTTAGGGCTATCCTTAGAACTTTGTGTAGTTTGTGGCGATAGAGCTAGTGGCAGGCACTATGGAGCGATTAGTTGCGAGGGTTGCAAGGGATTTTTTAAACGCAGCATCCGCAAGCAGCTGGGTTACCAGTGCAGAGGAAGTAAAAGTTGCGAAGTTACCAAACACCACAGAAATCGTTGTCAGTATTGTAGACTTCAGAAATGCTTGGCAATGGGCATGCGAAGTGACTGTAAGTGAAATTGATTCATTTTTATCATTGATTTTGTATCATTGATTTTGTTTTCTGAAATATATCGCGGAAGATGATAAATGTATGAATGAATTTACGGTGCTACAGCTGTCCAACACGAGAGGAAACCAGTGTTGGGCGATTCGACCGCGACTAAAGTTGGCAACCGTAGTCCCAGAGTGAAACCGGAACCGCAACAGTCCGCGCCCGAGGCACCGCCGACCTGGGAACAGCCCGAGAGTCCTGGCATGGAAGATCAAAGCAGCGATAGTGATCTCAGCGACGCTTTGACTTTAGCTCGAGAGCGTTTACTCATTTCTCATGCATTAGACAGCATGGCTAAAATCATTGGTGACGTAAGTTGCGATTATTATCCGATGTCTTTGTATTATCTTGATGTGTGAGTTAATCGCGGTATTCGCTTGTAGAATGTTAATGGTTCGAGCGAGCCGGAGGAAGAATGGACCGGCCAATTAATCTCCGAGCGAAATACATTGTTCGAGTTGAGAGCGCCTAGCCCGGCACCTGTATATTTATCTATTCATTACATATGCGAAAGTGCAGCTAGGTTACTATTTTTATCTGTTCACTGGGCGCAAGGTATTCCGGCATTTCAAGCTTTGCCGTAAGTGTAATATATTTTATACAAATAGTACATTTAATCTTTGTACTTTCAATCATATAGATAGTAAAATTGTCTAAGATAAACTTTTCACTCTTTAGATCTGATGTTCAGACGACTTTAGTGCGAAGTTCCTGGGGACAATTGTTTACATTAGGTCTGGCACAATGTGCATACACCCTGTCGCTTCCTAGTATTTTGACGTCAATAATCAATCACTTGCAAGCAAGTATCGCACAAGAGAAAGTTACTGCTAGCAAAGTAAAATGCGTTACGGAACACATATGTAGATTACAGGATTGTGTGAGTTCGTTGCACAAACTGCAAGTGGATTCTGTCGAATACGCATATCTTAAAGCTTTAACGCTTTTTAGCGCCGGTAAGTGAATGTAAATGGTATACGGTGAAGTTTTATCACGAATACTGAAGTAAGATATATTTTGCTATCTTTTGCAGATAATATTCTAGCAGGTATTTGGCGTAAGAAGGTTGAGGTCTTACAGGAAGCAGCGTGCACGGAGTTACAACAACGCGTGGGCTCCGACAGATTACCTCGCCTTCTGCTGAGGCTAGCGCCGCTTCGTTCGATCAATCCCAGGGTTCTGGAGGACCTCTTCTTCTCAGGCCTCATCGGTCGAGTAAGCGTGGCTAGCGTTGTGCCTTATATCCTTACCATGCAGGATTATAAAACCGAACCGGAGAGTCATGCGGGGTGACAAATACTGTCAGTGCAATGTAAGTCGTGATCTAAACAGTGATATACATGTAAAATGTTGGCCTCAAACGTTTTCTTACAACGAACTCGGATATAAACAGTCGAAATAATTTTTTTTTTCGCCTTTCCTTTTCGCGTTTCCTTTTCTTCTTTCAAATATTTGTACAAGAATATAATAACAATTATGAAATGCGCATAAATTTCAATTGATAATACATATATGTATCATTATATTTAATAATGATAACTGTACATATATATCTATGTTTAATATATGTACATATTTTTATGTGTAGATCACAGATATTTTATATTACGATATCTGTTTGTTTATTATAGTTTCTTGGTGTCTGACAATTCCTTATTTATTATATAGTGAATGAATGTTATATATAAAACTTTCGAGAGCAAAATACGAACTTGATACTTTATTGTGTTATGACAAGTAAGAGCTTAAATAACACTCGTTTTAACGAGCAATCTATGAAATGATAATCAGGGAATATTGACAGTATAATATTTATACACACACACACACACACACACACACACACACACACACGCGCGCGCGCGCGCGCACGCGCGCGCATATACATATAATAAAATACAACAATGTCTT